GGCTGCCTGGCCGCGGGCCTGGCCGGCGGTGCGGGGGGGGTGGTTAAGCGCTGGGCCTGTATCTGTGCGTGGTGACAGTCGGTCTTGGGAGACACATGCTGCAGGTTCCTCAGGGTTCAAAGGAAGGAAGTGCTGCGTCCCCGGCTACAGTTTAGGGATGTGTTTAGAGTGCAGTGCGCTCACGGGCTGCGGTTCGTTGCGTGAGCGTCTCTGCTAGCCTTTGCGTGTTCGCGTTTGTGGCTTTTTGTAATTTAACTTATCTGGAAAGGAGATGACAGTAACTTATAAGAGATTGTAACAACATGTACGTGCTGCTTGTCAGCGCTTGCTCGCTTTCCTCGCCTTCCAGCATAACCCCTGACTTCGTTAGGATTCAAAGGCTGTTAGGTCTGCTGCACGTTGAATTTAAAGCCTAACAGCTCTTCCAAAAGCCAAGCTACTGTTTGGTCGTCTATGGTCTTTAAGGGTTGTCCTTTAAAGTATTGCCTTACAGTGAGGATTGGCAATCAATGTGCTAACATTATTTCGTGATTCAGTTGTCACCCTCTGCACAGATTCCCTCTCTGCTCTGCCCAGGGCTCTGGGTAATCTGACGTTAAATTAAAAACTTTTTATTTTCCTAAAGGGTTTTTTTTTGTATGTGTATACAGAATGCAGAAGACATTGGACAGCTGCTTAGAACTTGCTTTTCTGCTGGCAAAGGTAAAATCTTGATTGTTACTCCTCATAAAATATTTCTTTGGATCTAATATTCCAACATAGTGAGCTAGGGAGCTGTGGTAAAGGTATGAGGCAGGGTAAGATTTGTTTGTTTAACTGAACAATGAAGTTGCTCTAAACAACTTTACCTGATCTCATCCTCTTCACTGAATACTCCTCCCATAGCCCAAATTCAGACTAATTTTAAGTTCCTTGGTTGGCAAGGAAAGTACTTCTGCTTCCTCTCCTGCTTCCATGCCCAGCTGTCGCTCTGTAAGAATGAATTCACCCTGTCAGGCTTCTCCTGCCAGCTTTGATGCTTCCCTTTCCGTTCTGCCAAACCAAGCACAGTTCTAACAAAACTTTCCGAGCAAGAAAATAGAAAGGCAGAGCTTTCTTAACGCAGTGTCCGTAACCAGTTTGTGTCCATTCAGTCAGGGTAGCTTGGATGCTGGTAGCTGCGCTAACTTCCTGCTGTTGAGTAATGGCATTCATCGGCTCTATGTCTTAGCTTTGAGAACCCGGGAAAACAGATACTTGGGTGAATTTTCAGAATTTGTGTTAAAGGCACTGTATCCAAATAGACATAAAGAGCAATTTGGCCAGAAGATTATTGCTTCGCAGGTACTGGTGCACACCAGCAAATGTGCTCCCTGCAAGGACGTTCCCAACACAGCAAAGTACAGGAGACGTTAATATTGTCATTCTGTGGCTAAAGACAGTGCCATCTCCCCTGTCTGGTGAGTCTCAGCAGTTTTCATTAGCACGCTGTGATCCTTACCAGATGTCCTTTTTGCTAGTCAAAAGGGTGGTAACTGTGAGTGAAGACATAAAACAAGCCATCAGACATCAGTAACAAGTTCTATAAAACGGTGTTACTTGTTCCTCTCAGGAGGTGAAGTTGATCTAGTGAGTGTGTAACAGCTGAATCACAGGAACTGATTTTTGCAATTTCTCTTCTTATAAACACCTTAGAAATTAATGGGGATTTCTGTCTTTAGAGGGCCTGCTCTTGTGGCTGTTGTGTGTAGGAATGGAGTCAGAATGAGTAACTGATAACATAAAACACAGAAACGTTTGAAGAAGGTTACATTTCCTAGGGAAGAGCAGCTGATGCCAGGAATGAGAATTTTCTTAATGGTCCCCTCCATTACAAATCAGTCATCTGGTTGGTTGTGAAATGCATCATCATGCAAAAGAAGTCCCAGGGGGAACTAGGGTTTTGTTTTTTGTTTTTGTTTTTTTTGTTTTTTTTTTTTTTCTTGTCACTAGATGTCTGTTGAGGTTTCTTTTGAGATATAAATGGAGCTGCACTGGCCATTCTGTTAAAAAGGTTTTCGCTGAGATGGAAACTGGGGGGAAATTTAAGGAGGAGAAATTTAAGAATGCAAAAATCAATCTCAGTTTAGGGTTTAGGAAAAGGTCAGAGAAGGAGAAAGTCCGTGGGAATATTCCCAGTGCATGTAGTTTGCACGTATGTTGCAACCACAATTAATAATGAGAGCCCCAGAAGACTTTTCCGTAAAATGCTACAGGACTTCAACATTGTGCAAATCCTTTCCATGCTAGTCTTGCTGAGAAATAGCCTTTACTAACTTTGCTTGCGTGGGGAACTAGGAGGCAGCTGTAGGGGTTTCATAAGAAGATAGATACCTCAACATGAATTGCTAAATACTGTGTGAAGTACTCTCTGAAGTGAGATTTGGGAAAAACTAGTGGTAAGCTAAGTTTCTCTCTGCAAAGAGGTGTTTTTTTCTTTCCTCAAACAGTCGTTAAAGCATGAACGCTATGGTCCAAACACTATTTTTACTCAGTTTTTCATTGTCTTGCAAGAGTCGTGAGTGCCCACTGCAGTCTCTTTTTTTGCTTGAAGCCTGTCCTACTTTATTTTGGTCCGTATTTGTAATTGACAAATCTAATATCTCTGTGGAGCAGGACAGGTAGTTAATGGAGAACGTGCAGATACGCCATTTCAAAGAAAGGAAATGGGCAGCTAAGACATTTTATATTCTTACTTGAAATTTTCAGTGTCAGCTGGGAGATTGAAAGGAATGCTATCAAGTTTAAAAAAAAAAAGATTTAATTCTAGCAATATTGCTAGATCAAGTAACACAGCTGAAAAACTAAAAAAGATTTTTTTTAAAGATTAAAACTTTTTTTAATTAAAAGTGCATGTTTAGCACTTCTTTGTGAATGGTCATTTTTTGCCATTTCTTCTGTGAGTTCATTCAGTGTCCCTTATTGAAAAAGTTCCCTGTAAACACAGCAAAATGAATTGCTTGGAATAAAGGAAACTTTACACAAGAGGAGATAGCAGTATTTTTAAGGCAAATTTGAGAGAGAGAGAGTAAGATAACGTAAGTAGCAGTTTAGCAGATCAGAATAACAGTTGCAAGCAGCATATGTTCAATATACCTGTAGTTATACTGATGGGTAGTAGAGAAGATTGGAAAACATTAAACATGAAAAGGTTCAGAAAGTAAAAATGAGCTGGGACTTTCCATGGGTGCAGTTCAGAAAGACAACTTGGTCACAAGCCAGCCAGTACAAATATTTGTTGCTTTTTATAGATTTTTTTTTTTTCTTGTCACTAGATGTGTTTACTCACTGGTTTAGTCAAGATAATTTGTATGAATAACATCCACTCACCTTATATAGATTAAGATAATTTTGTGTTGGCAGTAAGGTAATAAAAGAAGGATTCTGTGTGGAGGCAGGAATCCTCTGCCCTTGCATCTGTGTTCTTGTCATCCCAAAGAGTGTCTGCGGGGTGCTCATTAGTCAATGCTCCTCGACTTACTTCAAAGCTTTTTCTCAGAACTTCAGGTAAGCTGGGTAAGTTTTTCCTCCCTAACAAATTAATTGCCTGTGAGTGTTCTTTGAAGGACTATTTTTGTTTTAGATTGGAATATTTCTATTCCCACACATTTGTTTTCTTTCATTATCCACATGATCATAAATGTCATGCATGCATTATCATTGTAACATGTGAACCTTCTGTGCTATATTTGTAATGCATTGTTCTTTATTTATTCACTGTTGCATATTTAAAATTTTAATTAAAATTCTCTCATCTGTTATTGTAACAAGGTTACAACCTTATTATTTTTGCATAAGTTATTCGAACTCTTGATTCCACAGTGTGGAAGGTGAGGTGAAAACACTAACTACTGCAAAGAACTTTTTAAAGCGAAGAATGTAAATATTTATACTTTCCAACTGTAGTTGTTCAAAAATAAATTTAATCTTTCAAACTTTAAGTGATTCTCCAAGATGTTTGCAAAAGCAACAAAGAATTTTGTGAGAGAAACTGACACTGGAGGTGACTTGATCCCTGTCTCCCACTTGAATGCCTCTGACAAGCTGCAGCTTCTGAGCTTAATTACGAAGAGGAAGAAATTGTGGTGCTGGCAGAAGCCCAAGTACCATTTCTTGACAGTCACATTGAGTGATGTGCTTACTGAAGACAAACCTATAAAACCAGGTAAAGGCATACTCAGAGATTGTTGCAGATAAAAAGAATGTGAAGCCTAATCTTTTTTGTTATTGTTCTCAATCATGTTACTCGAGGACTCCTTTCAAAGGGATCTGCTGAAGCATTCTCCATCCTTAGAAATGGGATGACCTGATATTTTCGGCGCTTGACTCTTTGTTTTGCTAAAAACAATACTAATAAATGTTAATTCTTTTAAAAAAAAGTGTTTTGTCTAGAGAGACTAGTGCAATTGAGTGCTGGAGGTGGTCGAGCCCTGCGGTGCTACTGTTTGATAACAGAGCGCTCTGCCGTCTCGAAAGCTCCCCTGGAACATCTCTTGGGGATGCCAGCATGCGATAGCAGCATGAAACTGTACTGTGCTCTGGGTGAAAATGTGTTGGACAAACAGTGCTTTGTTAGTGACAGCAACCCAGGGGATGCTTGTACAGGCAAGGCCAAGTGAGTTTTGCCACCGCTCCCTTTCTTCTTGTACAGACTGGAAAAAATAGGTGACGCTTGTGCTTCTTTCTTCATCTAGCTGCACCAGCCCTAACTAAGTCATAGGTGTAATGATCTGGAGGAATCCTGTATTTCTGGGCATGTCATAATTCCATACAGGAGAGCAGATCTATCGTCAAGTGTAGATTTTAATTGTGGCTGGTGTGGAAGAGCAGCTGATTCTGAGTCTGTTCTTTAGTATGTAGGTATGTGAGATTTGGGATTTCTTTTAAGCCAATTAGATGCTTCCACTGATTTTCAGTGAGCTTTGGGACAGGCTTATAATGAATGAGATGCCTCAAGATAATGGAAAAATATAAAGCACCAGCAATGCAAGCAGTTCTGTTCTGCTTTGCAAGTCTTCCGTGGCATTTGAGCTCAGCATTTTAGTCATCTTATGTTTTCCCAAAATGGCAAAATAAGAAAGATCAGCAGAGCAAAGATGATGAAAATATGGTGGAAGCAGAAATAGGAGGTGTAGAGCAATGAAAGTCCTTATTTACCTGCTCAGTACTGTTCCTTGCTTTCATTAGCTGTTCAAATTCTCTGTAAGTTTTTGGGTTTTTTTCAACCACTTCTGATGCTATTTCTTTTTATTGTCTTTACATGTTGAAATTACTTTATCATTTTCCTAGTAATTGTGGAGTCTGACTTTGTGAAATATTTGGGGAGATTTGAAGATTTTGTTCAAGGAAGTGTTGATACTTCATTTGGAAAGATCAGCCTGGGAGCCAGAGGGAAGGGCTGTGTGGAAAGCAGGTCCTCCTTTGGAAACCTGAGGAAGCAGGAGATTGATTTGCAGCAGCTTATGAAAGACATCAAGGGAAGGTATGTTTTTACTATTGGCATGGCAAAGGCCAAAAAAGATTTCTGAACTTAAATTAGGTAAAAGACTTGTGCTAGGTGTGATCACTGAGCAACTAATTTCTTGAGTGTTGTCACAGTCGAAGAATTACTTTTCTTGTAAAATCTCATTTTCGAGCACATGAAACTTTCTATAGGTCATACATACCAAAATGAAAATTTCCAACTTCTTGAAAGCTCGGTGGTCAGATCTTTCGCTTGCATTTAAAAAACATCTCACTGCTGTTTCATCTTACATATTTGCATGAATTACCATGTGGAACAAGGGTCAAATCCTTCTCCCTTTGGGGGATTCTATTAAAATACAATCTGGAAGAAAATGAATTGGCTTCTCTATGTTACTGGGATGAATGCTATGGAAACTGAATTCAGAACTACCAATATTCTTGTAAGCAGGCTTTATAATTACTTTTTTTTTTTTTTTGTAAGAGGCTGTGCTAGACAATGGAATTATGTGAAGTAAAGAGGAAGGAATGGAAAAGATGAGCACCATGGTGATTACTCATTCAAGTAGTTGAACAAAAACTGGCTTGTTGAACTGTTGATCACTATTGCGTAGAGTAATAAAAAACCCAGATATTCCAAGCTATAACCAAGCTGTAATTTTACAAGGCATCCAAGACTTTGAGTTCTAATCTGAAATGTGATTGACTTAATCTTGTAGTAAGACAGTCAAGGACAGAAGCCTACTTGGCAACCAGCTGATGGTCAAGGGTCTGCTCTGTATTGCAGTTCCTGACTCATATGGGAGTTGAGGGTGGTTAATATGTGACAGCCATGTAGATCTATAGGAGGTGGTGTAATACATTTTAATCGCGTTTGTTAATGATCTGATGATGATGATAGCTTTTAGTTATCTGTGCAAGAGTTATATGAAGCAGTGTACATTTTCTTTAGTTAAATGGACATTCTGGAAATGATCAGTGTTCCATTTTCAGAGGAACAATTGCCCATTGTGCTGTTTGTCATGAGCATTCATAAGTCATCAAACTTGTTTTTTAAAAAGGCACTCTGCTATCTTTGTACTCAATGTCGTATTACAAACAGAAAATACTGGGATTAATGTGTGTACCAGGCTTGTAAAATTAGTATGCATCTAGTGTAAGACAAACAATATCAGTCATGATTTAGAAATTTGTTTCTAACAGTGGATAGAATGCTGTAGAAAAAGTAAGTATAGACAAGGCAGGTCAGTAAGTTTGGGCAGATCTGAAAATGTAAAGTGTAAAGTATAAATACGAGTTGTGTTTGTGATGACTGTGTATTATTGTTAAAATACATCTTTATGGTATAAGGACCTGGAAGAGATCACTAAATCATCTGCATGCTAGACTCAGTAACACTATGAGATGCTGACTTTGTATGAAGAAGTTGAGCAGGCACGTAAGGCCCGCTGGGTTGCTTAGTAGGTGTGGCAGTGAAGTAGTCCAGTTTAATGTGTGTGCCCCTGTAAACAAGGAGCTAGTTCTTTGTTTATAGAAAAGATGCTCATAGCTTATTAAAGCTTATGATGCAAAGTGTATAACTGATATCCAGTCAGTTTGGCTTTTTATTTATTTATTCATTCATTCGTTCAGCATAAGGTTGAAGCTCACTGGAAACAGTGAGCAGGTCCTTACACGTGAAATTCCAGTTAGCCATTCATAAATATTCTGTGATTTGTGATGGATCTTGTTCATGGCTTTGAGCTTTCATCTTGTTCATGGAGCATTGGTGGGAGGGATAGAGAACATTCGGGAGTGGTGATGCCTAGAAATGCGTGACTTTGCATACAAAGCAGTATGGTACCAAGATGGTGTTTAGTGGTCAGCTCTTGTGAGAAAAGAATCAGCTCTTTTCATTTTTTTTTTCATCTAATGAAACGCATTGCTTGTGCTTGTCAGATCAATTGTTGTTTCATTTGTAGTTTCTAGGTAGAACCTAATTAAGTTATACTTAAATGTTGTTCTTGTTGTTTTTGGCTGCTTAAGTCAGTTACTGATAAATAGCAGAAGCATCTTAAAAAAAGTGAAAGTTGATGTGGTTTCTAAACCAAGTCTTGTGAGTCTTTAAAGATCAGAAAGTTGCAAGTGCTGGATGTCATCAAATCAGTTTCCTTTCACTTCTTATGTGAATCTTACAAAGGAGAATTCTGCTAGTCTTTTAACTAGATTCCAGATGCAGCAGTGACTCTCCTTTTCAGAAAAGAGACAACAGCTGAAGGATGCGGGAGGAGGTACCTCCTGACTTGCCAGAGTAATGACATTTTAAATACAGAATACACTTAATAATATATATAACAAAAACATAGTTAAACTTTGCATGTTTTATGATGCATTATTTTTACTTCTCGTATTCTGTTGTGCTTGCTAATTCACCAGGTACTGTAGCATACTGACTTTAGGGCACAGTCCTATACTTTTAAATTGGTGAGATTGTTCTGCATTTAAGAGAATGTTCTGCCCTCCAGTAAAAATGATTGTAGGGAGGATATAATCTCTTCAGTTCTCCTGAATTAACAGTTCACTTGTTTGTTTTTATCATTTCACTGAGCTGGGTTAGGGGATTAATGCTCCAAGAGGACAAAAACAACAGAAAGAAGGCAGCAGATAGCAGCTGTTCAATCCACATCAGCTGCAAACAGGTTTGTTTGCCTGGCACATTTCCATCGTTTCATATAAATCATTCTTCAGTCCATGATTAGCCTATTAGAAAAACAGGCTAAATTTTAGTAGTAGTAAACTCTCACATGGTTGAAAGATATTTTTATACTATTGTATATTCTTGCATATTGTACTTCAAGATGCGTTTTCATAGATTCAGTCAATTATCTGAGACAAAACTGGGACAAAATTAGGTGCCCATTCCTGATCAGAGTACAGTGGAGATTCAGCCCATTAACCTAACTGTGTGCGCTCTCCCTGTTCTTATTGACTTGACCTGTCAGGGCATGTTTGAAGTCTGGTTCAAACATAAACCTTTTGTTATTTATCTGTAAAAATCCTTGAGCATTTATGAGTAGGATGACATAGCTGTTTACCAGTTTTCCCTCAAAGGTGCTACATGAGCTGTATGAACTCACAGAAAACATGTGCAGCCAGAAAAGTGTGCTGACCTTACTGTGAGCATGAAGAGTACTTAAGAGTTGCAACCATTCTTTTTGGTAGTCAAGGTAAACTGGTAAGCACCTTGCTTTGAGGATTTGCAGGATGCGTTACTGAGAAATCTGGACAGGATTTGATGGAAAAATTGACCTAGCCCGTCTTCATTGTAGATAGTCCAAGTCAGGGATTCTGCACATGAAGGAAAGACCCAGAGTCTCAGGTGTTGGTTTTAGACGCGTGATCTGCGAGAGCCTGCCGAGTTGCCGGATGCTGTCTGTTTTCCCTTGCCCTGTATTGGTTTCTGTCTTTTTCTTTTTTCCTGCATCTAAGCTGCAGTAATTTACCTTTGTACCTGATTATTTTCCACTCCATTCCTCATGCAAGAAGAAAAAAGTTATTTATAACAATTCATAATCTGTATGTTGATCGTGGGATTTAGGAATACAACTTCTCACTGTATTTTATAGTGTCTCCTTTTGAACATTTCAGCTCAGCTTCTCAAAGGCGGGGAAGACTGCAGTCCCAGCCTATAGGCCACGCCAAGTGTCTTCACTTGAGGGCTCCTGTACAGTAGATTGTGAACAAGATAGGAAGAGTGAAGGCTGCAGAGCAGAAATGAGAGCTTTGAAATGTAGCCTATAGAATAAAAAATGCACTTCCATGTGCCTGCATATGGTATTCTTAGCTGTTTAACTCGACCGTCTTGCTGTTCTTGATACTCAGACTGTTACTCTAGCAAATGAGTTCAGCCCTTGCAAGAGTACACTCATTAGATTCAGCGGCCATTGCCCCTCAATATTTTAAGCCCTGTTCAGATTGTTGAACTTCAACCCTGTTGCGTTTTGCCCTTGACACCTGTTTTCAAAGATAGACACCTGTTTTCAAAGATAATTTAGATTAAGCTGGGTATTTATTTACCGCACGTTGTCCTCTGTTTGAGTCAGCATCCTGTGCTTTCCTGTGGGAAGAGCAGAGGGGTTTGCCTTCCACAGGCTGTGCCCCAGTGATGCCAGCAATGTGCCTGCGCTCAACACCGGGGTCTGAGGGCTTTTGTCTTAGACAGTTGAGTGCCAAAACTCTACGGAAAGCATTTAACTGTGCTGTCCTAAAAGAAAAAGTAATTTTAACTGTTGGTAGGGAGATGTGGTTTTAAAGTCTCTATCCTGTGGTCATAAAAGTTAGTGGGAACAGGAAAGCATTTCTGCCTGGCTTTACAGCATCCCACTGAAGTCTCTCAAATCTTGGGCCTGAGACAGTGGCCACATCCCTGCCACAATGCACCGAGTTACCCCCGATAGGGAGCACCGCACTGCGGGAGCGCTGCCTCGGGGCCGGGCTGAATAGCTATGTGTCCCCATGGTGTTAGTGCTGCTGCGGTGCTGCAGCAGCTCATTCAGCACTGACTTCCTCACTGCACCTCACTGCAAGCGTAGCTGTGTCACCTGAGGCATTCGCTTTGCCACGCGGCTGTTATTTGCTTAGCTCAACTTCAAAGCCAGGAGCATGAGGGGATCTGAGCCAGACTCACCTCAGGGCGGGTGCTGTAGAAGTAGGTGGAAGAAAAAGTCTCTGAATGATTTTGGTCATTCAGTCCTGTAGGGTTAAATCAGATTTTTTTTAAATGCCTCTCAGGTGAATGCTAGTATAGTTAATGAAGTTACAAGAAGTCTCTATTTGTTCTGTGGCTTTGTACCTTCTGTTGGTTTTGTGTTTTTTATTCTTAACTTTTGAGGATATCCTGGTGAGTTTGTCATCCTCTAAAGCAGGCAAAAAGTACATGATAAGAAAGCAAGTGACAAATTGCTTTTGGTCATCTTCATTGTATCTCTTCCCATGTGGGTTCTTTGGTTGTGCATTAAAACTGCAGGTTCCCTGGGCTTTAATTATTTTTTCAGAATTCTTAGCACACCTCTTCAGAATTATAAATAATTATTGGGAATTATGTCACAATGCACGTGAATAGACATGACCTGTTAAAAGATATTGTGATAATTAATAGCTCTAGTTTGTCAGGAACTTCTAACGGTGTTTGTGATCGTCTGACGGTTCTTCAATTTTTGCTTACTCCAAAGATTTCAAGCATAAAGCACGGCTTGGCACCTAAAGAAAGAAAAGTTAAATTCATAATCTCAGGAACGTTTGGGGTGCTTTACCAGTGGCTTTTACATTGCTTCAGAGGTATTTTCGTTCCCTTGTTTAAGCAATCAACCTTAAGTTTTTCAGACAGTTCATTCCAAGTGATTGAACTTTCATATAAGCACATAACTCACCAAAGATCAGAAATTGCCTCAGGATATTTTTAATTTAATAAAGAATCAAGCTGACTTCTGAGTATACCGACTGCATGAATCCAAAAGCCGTAGATTCTAATAAATCTAAAACTTTTTAATTAAAAAGCTGGAGATATCTTGATTTAAGTAAATTGGAATAAGAACATGTCTTTCTATCATATTTTTGGGGAATTGCCATTTAGCCCCTTGCATAACAACCCTTTACAGTAAAATGGAGAAGAAAAGACTGAATAACTTCAGTCAGGGATAGCAATCTTTTAATCTTCCAGCTGTCTTACTAGAGGTGTCCGTTAATAGAAAATACGACATCTCATCTGAGCACCTCCAATGGGTGTTTTGCAAAAGTATAGTATAATTGACACATTTTCATCAATAGAATGCAGTTAGCAAGTTGCTTTAATTCTACCGGAAAGACTGTTACTGACCCCAGAAGATATGATAGTGAATTTGGCCATCTTTTCTTAGAAAATAATCCTCTCTTGCAGTGCTTGGGACCTAATTTTCTTACTTCTGCTCATTCTAAGAAGCACCAAATTACAAGAACTCCAGTAGCATTTAAACACAAATTGAAGTATGTTGTGTGGTGGAGGTGACTTGTTAAATTGGATGCACAGAGAAAAGAACTGAGGGGCCCCCCCCCCCATTATTTTTTTCTTTTGACGGGACAGTCCTGGTCATTAGTTTTGAATTGTGAGATTAAACATCTGAGTAACACAGGAGTTTATAGCAGATGATTTTTAGTAGTCTTCTCCAATCTTAAGATCCATGAAATCTTTTCCAGGCTTTAGAAGTATTTGGTTGCATTGTTAACAGTTCCACTCAGCCAGTTTAGGCTTTAAATGAATGCTATAACAGATCAGTAGCAAGCTATGAGGTCTGGAAATGAGCCTCTGCTCTCTTCGTGTGCTGTTTTTTCCCTTAAGAAAAATTCTGATGGCTCAGAATTTGGAGCAAGAACTGAGGAGTTTGGAGGCAGTCTGTCCGGGCACACTGCTCATGCACCTTCAGAGGCCAAACCAGCTTTCACAGTGATGGTTGCCTCAAGCTGTCATAGTCCAGGGTCACTCTCTCTAAACAGAGCTTTCTTGTGTGGATAATATTACATGCTTTATTATGTATTGTGCTATTATATGTATTTATATTACATGCATGCCTAGTGTATGCAGTAGGATGCAAGAAGGTCACAATATGGACCATTAGTGCATGTCTTTTATTTGTACTCTCTAGTAACTTCTTTGGTTAAAATAATTCTTCTGAGTAAAGACTGCAGTATGTAATCCATTGATTTTCCTGAGACTGTGTTAACATGAGGCTCTGAAGACAATGATTAGCCGGCATCCCTGGCCATAGCCCTGGTAGGGTCAGTGAGAGTTCAGAGTGGCAGAGGATTCACTCCAGTGTCTGCAAGCTTGGCTGATTGTTTTCATAGTGCACTGGAGGCTTTAGGTTGTCTCTAGTTCTCTGTTGTTTTTGCACTTAAATGAAAATAGCCGAACAGCTGACGTTTTTGCTCAAAGTAAAGAATCAAGAATTCAGTATGTATGTTGGGATTTACTTTGTAATATAGATATTTCTAGTCTTGCTGCTACCAAATAACAAAAGAGGATATGATAATTTTGAGGAGGCTGCTCATACAGAAACCATTCTTATTTTACAATAAAAGCTTATTCTTAATTGTTTGAACAGCAGTCTTTGAAAATGTGTTTTCTCAGTTCTAGTATTTATTGTTGTTACTGGTGTCTTTTCTTATTTCAGAACAATAAATCTAAACAATAGTTTACTGCAACAAGTAATGGAAAGAAAACATGAAGTGCTCTGCATCTTGAGAGAAAAGATAGTAACAACCCAAAAATGTATGATATCTGAACATATCCAGACAGAAGAGAAAATCGGTGGCATCCTGGGATGCAGTACAAAGGTAGTAAAGGTAAAAGTTACTAAAAACCTGCAAGGAATATTCTAGTTAAACTTACAGGTTACCTTAGGAAAAAATTATGATTTCTCCAAACAGATTTCAGAGTATTTTTCATTTTTTCTTAACAAATTCTGTCAGTCGAAAGAACTCATTATGCTGCTTAGCTGTGGGACTTCAAAAAGGTAAAATATTTTCCCTCTTACCTAACTGACTAAAGGTGCCAGCTTTTGATGCGAGTCTGGAATGTGGTTTCCGTCAACAGTCTCAAATTATGATTCAGTTTCTATGTAGATTCCTACCAACAGCAGAACATCAAACAAACAGATATAACAATCCAATGAAAGTTGTGTCAGTAATGCTTTTGCTCTTAAATTTATTTGAAAAGCAAAATAATCATTCATCAAAAATGTTTGCAATATCTCCTGAGTTTTAATATTTATTGAGAAGCTATTTGTTTGTGGTTGGGGAGCAGGGATTAATTGCATTGTGAGGACATTTGAAAAAATTGCCTACGAATTGAGAAAAAGTTACCAAAGTCCAGCGTATGCTTATTTGTTTTAAGTTTTTTAAAGCTGCAGATGAATTACTTCTGTGCACAGGGAGTCTCCTTTGGCAGAAATCTGGGAAATGCAGTTGCATGGCTTTCTGTGCCAGTGCCACCTTCCTGGTACCAGTCTCCGGTTGGGTAGAAGAGGGTAGGTCAGGACACTGAAGTGGGTGCCAAATTCCCCCGACACGGTGTTCCTGATTTATGTATAGCAAAAGTGAAAACTACACCTGGAGCTCAACTTCCTATTAGAACAGGGTAGCAGAGAGTCTGAGCGCTGCTCTTGGCACTTTGGTACCTCCACCTTGCTGCTTATGTTGTTTTTTTCACAGATGTCAAATATCGCATTTACTTTAGACAGTCATTGGTGGAGAACAAAGCATGTTCTTTCTCTGTATTTTTTTCCTCTTAATTAATTCTGTGCTTAAGCTATACAATAACTGAATCAAGTAAATGGTGAATAAATCTGTCCTCTAGGTTTCAGTGAGTGAAAATGGAAGTATGATGAAGGATTCTAGCGTGATCCTTGAGATTCCTCCGGCCACCGCTATTGCCTATGGTGTAATTGAACTGTATATAAAGCACAGTGGCGAATTTGGTAAGTAGAAAGCTCATTTTGTGTGGCATATAGCTCAACTGTGGAAAAGAACTCTCTCTTGAGCAGTGCTTTTATTTCCCCATGTACCACCATGACAATGTTGTGTGGTGTACGTTGCCTTGATAGTTATTTGCACTGCTGCATAAGCAGCAGTGTAAAATGCTGCTCTTCTGATTTAATAATGCTTTTTCACAAATGTACATAGATCATAGACCCACAGAATAATTTAGGTTGAAAAGGACACTGGAGGTCATCTAGTCTAAGCCCCAGGTTAGAGCAGAGCCGACTCTTGAAGTTTGATCTAACTGTAGAGTTAGATCAGGTTGCTCATGGCCTTGTCTCATCAAGTTTTGAGTATTCCCAGAGGTGGAGATTCCAGAACATCTCTGGGCAGCCTTTTCTCATGTTTGACCACCATCATGGTGTACCTTTTTTTTTTTTTTCCTCTTAATATTTAATCAACATTTCCTTGTAGCTTCTCTGTTGCCTCTTGTCCTATCATCATACACCTTTGAGAAGAGTGTCTCTGTCTTCTCCACATACTTTCATCAGGTAACCGTAGAGAGCATTAAGGTCTCCTCTTAGCTATCTTTTCTGCAGTCTGAACAAATTCAGTCTCTCAGCTGCTTCTCACACCTGAAGTGCTCCAGCCTGCTACCATTTTGGTGGCCGTTTGCTGGACTTACATCAATACGTCAATGTCTTTCTTGTATTCGGGAGTCCAGAATCGGTCACTGCAGTCCAGATGCAGACTCAAAAATGGTGAAGAGCAGGGAAGAATCACTTCTATCAGGCTGCTTGCTATGCTCTTGGCAGTACAGCCCGGTATGCAGTGAGCCTTAATAGCTGCAAGGGCACACTGCTAATCGGGTCCAGCTTGTCCATCAGGATCCTCAGGTCTTTTTTTTGCAAATTCGTTCCTAGGCAGCTGGCCTACAGCCTGTGCTGTTGACCCTAGCAGTTATCTAAGGTGCAGGCAGTGAACTGGATCTGCTCGTGCAGTCAACCCGGCATGTTTAGATACAAACAGTCATGTTAAGAGAAAATGACGATAAACTGTAGGCCTGGAATTAATACTTTCCTGTCTATTCAACGTTTTCACATATAGATTGTTCTCAGAGTGGTTGCAGAAACGTCCCCATCCTATTTTCTTGGCTTTGGGAAAAGAAAAGATGGTAACTCTGCTTTGCAACATCATGCAGGTTTTTTTTCTTGCCCATCCTCAATCAAAGTCCCAGACCTAAAGCAGGTTTCAGGGGGCGCAAGAAGGAAGGAAATTAGATGGGTAGTGTAGGGCTGGAAGTTTAAAAAGACTGATGTGGAGAGAAACAAAAGATATATTGCAGAAATAATTGAAGTGCAGGTGATATTTGAATCTAGGCTGCACTTCATTTGGATAAGAAATGCAGGTGATACTGCCCCTCCTTCTCCTTCAACGGACTTCTGAGATTAAGGTAGTCTGTAAGTCAGGAACATAAGTAAACATTATCTAAATTGTAAATAAGTTTTTAAAAATTGGGAATTACCCTGACGTTAGGTGAACACAGAGATACACCAGAGGGCATTGATTTCACAGTCATAATAGAACTGTAATTCAGAGTAATCAGGTGCAATTAAGGCTATCAGACTACTTAGATATGTAGCAGACAGCCTACTTAGGTGATTTCCAGATAGAACTTCCTATGACCTGCTGGCTGATAATTAATCTGTGTTGTTAATGATGTGTGTTCCTCTTTGCTTTTTGCACTTTTGCCCTATCCTGTTTTCATATTTAATTTTCTGATCTTTTAAGCCTCAAAAAAACAGTCTTGTTTCATCTTTATTTGTTGGAACTCATAAACAACATACATCTTCTCCTCTTTTTTTTTTTTCTAATTACCTCTGTCAATGACAAGTCAAAGTGGAGGAAATAACACCACAATTAGGGATTTGCCACCAAGAAAACTTCAACTTCTTACTGTCTGAACAGTGGTCAGTGTCTGTTTAGGGCAATGAAAATAGCCTCTGAAGTTAAATGTAGAGACTAACATGGTCCTTTGTCATGACTCTGCAAGTGGCCAGCAGCAGGTATAACATAATGAATTTCCTTCACATGTAATTATGGAATAAGATGCATGTAAGTTTTGTTTGTTCCTTTTCCTTTGCCACTGGCAGTCAGTGCTTGAGTTATTCTGTAAGGAGTAATGGTGTGTAAACCTTCCTAGAAATAGCCTGGCTAATGTGACTGGACATTCTTGGCCATAAAAAAAGATAAGTCTAATCCGTTATTAATTCCTTTACCACAATGTTTTCCTATAATCATGCTCTGTGTGTTTGATTTTTACAGGCTAATTGTCCATTAGCTATAAAAGCTGCTCCTGTTAAAGGCTTTGTAGTTTTGTCTCTTTTTGATTTCACTGCAAGTTCCCTTGTTCGTGCTTTACCAAACAGGATAAATAGTAGCACTTGACTGACTTGCATTGTTCTATTATTGTCATATACATTTGATCTGTCTCCTCTTAAGTGTCTCTAAATTAAACAGTCCTGATTGTTTTGGCTCCACTCACAGGAATCTCTTTGCTTCTGATGGTTTTCGCTGATCATCTCTGGATTTCTTCTATTTCTGTTAATGATCTTGAATAACTGACAAGATCTAACTGCACTGGTGGAGGCCTGTCACTGATGAATGTTAAGAGAATTCAATAGTAAAAACACCACAAGGTTACTTCATGTATTTCTTCTTTTTCCCCCTCTTTCTTTTACAGAGCCTGACAGATTTAATGAGATATAAAATTAATTAACAATTTTAATAATGCAAAGTTTCGAGTCCTGCATTCTCCTCTGAACTGAGTCCTATTACAGGATTTAACAGCAGGCTGTATATCTCTTAAAAATGTGCACGTGATGCTAATAAGGTAAACCAGTACACAGCATCATTCTGCCTCAGAGGGCAAGTAGTTTATTAGCACCATCTTCTCCTTCAGGGTGCATGTGAAAGCCTGTTAGTATCAATGAAAGCAACATGAGCATGTTGGCCTTATGGTGCTTGGCTGCCGTCGCGAGTCTTGTTGCTTTAGGAAGTTCTTTAATTTGTGTTAATCGCCTTCTGTTCCACTGAAGCTTGCTCTTCTCTGTGAAGGGTTATGCAGGCAATAGGAGCGTAAAGGTTTCGGTCTCTCTTTTTCTGTGGCAGAGGTTTCTTTTTCTGTTCTCCCTTTGAAAATGCCCTTGGCTGATGGAGTGCTCTCCCTGCTTTCTCATCTGCTTTGAATGTCCTTAATTTGGTGAGACAGACTGTTAAAACCACAGGAAGGTTATATTTAGGTTTTTTGCCTGGTACGTGAGAGCACTGTGCTTGATTAGTTACATTTTTTCCTTTGCTGTCAGGTACTGCTTTAAAATTGACTTTCTCTTGCTAGCCTGCCTAGGTTCTTCTCTTAGTCCTGCTGCAGAGCGCCGTGGGTGCAGTTTCAAATCTTATGTTTGAGCCATTAGAAGAAGAAGATCAAAATAATGCACAGGGCTTTGGTTATTTGGTGCACCTTTGAGACACAGTACTGGAGGCATGAGCACAGAACTTGACATTGCAAATTTCTCAGCCTAACTCTTACAAAGGCTAGCTGGGTACCTTTACATGAGTCCCTTAGCTTCCTGAGGTGGGAGGGACGGCTGTGCAGCGACGAGAAGTCGGCAGTCCAGTTTAGGTAAGGTAAGGTAGACCAGTGCTTGTTTTTTTCAGCCCGAGGTCTAGGTAGAAAGGGTAACCCGGCCAGGGATTCATTGTTTTCCTCATTAACTTCTGTCAGAGAGACACTATATTGAAGGATGATTCTGGTACTGGACATGGCTGGGTGAAGTCCTTAAGAGATTTGCTCTGAGACGTTCCTGTTTTCCACTCATTTGGAGGACTTGGGAATAGACCTGTGGCTTGATTCAAAAAGGGGGTCCACTGATGGCATGGCCAGAAAAAGCTTTGTGAAGGATACTTACAGAGTTGTTTATGAATCTCAAGAAGTGCTTTCGTGTGTGTCTCCATCATGAGTGGATGATGGTAACTGGTAACTGCGCCCCCGAACCTCTATTTGTGCACTCGGTATTTGTGTTCCAAGCAGTAATGCTCAGTAATTCACAGAGATGGCAATTTTAGGCATTCTTCCCACCCGGAAGAGATGAGACATGGTGAAATCACAGGTACAAACACCAGCTAACATAAACTAGCATCTCATTCAGTATTTGCTTGTGTACCTTCATGATTTTTTTTTTAATGGATTTTTAATTACAGAATGCTGTCTGCTAGATGAGCAGCAAGGAGGTTTTGAAAGAGAAAGCGCAGAAGGCTCAACTTATCCCCATTCTGCACTATTCGGAGATGCTTCTCTTCTGTATCAGCCAGATGCCGTTGATAATGAGACATACTCTGGGGCTAAAAACATTGTTCCCAGTGATGCTTCCTTAAGTGTTTTGAAACAAGGTATTAACAGAAATGCTTTACATGATTACATTACAGTGAGTTAAGTAGCATGATAGAGTTAAGTATTCTGGTATGATAATCCATAAGAAATTATGTTAGTTCACTTTAATAGCCCCTATCAGGAACTCCTGGGGAAATGCTTAGAAACAATAGAAAACATTTACTTCTGGAACGGTTATATGCAGTGGACAGTCCCCTAGGAACACGCTAAATGCCTTTATCAAAAACATGATCTTAAAGTATTAGGTTTTTATTTCAGTTCTGTTATACTCCAACCAAGCTCTGTAAGACTGGTAATGATTTGTGCTTTAGTTCAGAAGGGGTCACTGAAGCATCGGTTCATAATTTGGAAAAAGTTTTCAGTAAAGCTCCTCAGTGAAAGGTTATTTTAAGTCTCAGAATTTATGAAGATACCTTCCCTCACCCTGTGGTTACGGTTATCAGTTTCTGAGAACTTTGGTAGAAATCTTAGGCTGAAGAAGTTAAAATGTGATTTTAAGTGGAAATTTGTATATTGGTATAATGGGCCAGGCACAGCTTGCTTATTGTAGGGGGAGAGAAGGGGCAGGATTGCCCCAAGTAAAACCGTTAGCCCAGAGGAATGGAAAAGTGAAAAGTGAATCAAGGCTGCAGCACCCTTTCACTTTTCATCAGTTCTTGGTGTAATTCCTACAGCTGTTTCTAATGATGAACAATGCATTTGTTATCTCTAAATTCAGCCATTTGTTCATGGCTTGTTCAATAGACTAAATATGACCAAAATAGGTATTTGTTGTGCTGCAGTAAGTTCTGCCCTTGTCTGATGTAGACTCATTTGAAAAGAGTGAGTGCATTTCTTTGTGTGGATAAAAAAATACCTTTGAATGAAAGAATGCTATGCCACTGTTTTGGTTTGCATTTTAGCTTGGCATGCCTTTGTGCCTTTCTTGCTTAAAGGACTTGCAGGTTTCCTTTAATTAATTAACCTGAACTATCTCTTAAAAGGACTAAAGAATTGTTTAAATTAAAGTAATTTAAAGTAGGTTTCCTGTTCTGTTTCATTGCTCTTTTATTTGGATAGGCAGTCATACGATTGCATCAGATACCAAAAAATCCCTGGCTGGGCTTTTTTTTTTTTTTTTTTTTTTTTTTTTTTTTTTTTTTTTTCCTGCAGTTAAGGAATTTTTCAATATAAAAAGGCATCCTTAAAGAGAGCACATTTCTTGTCCAGAGTGACATGAAGGGAAATTTATTTTAAACAAGGTTAAGAATGCTTGCATGCCCATATTTTTGGAATGTGGAAAAACACATTCCAACCTTCCAATTGGCATGGTTGACTTGAAAACTTATTTTCTTTGAGCTTATTGGTAATATGCTCGTCATGAAATATTTTGGCTTGGTAATTCATATTAACCCATGTTGAGAAGTAAGGTTATGAACTTCCTCTGGAGATGAACTTTCAAGTGATAAACAATATTAAAACTAAACATATAGTGGCTAATTTAATTAACATTAAAATATTGACATCTAAAATGTTGAAAATGTTGAATACTCAGTGTTGGTCCCTAGTAGCTGCATTTATTTTTTTCTCAGAATTTTTGATGAGGCTTCATTGAGTCACTAAGGAAATATAATCAAATGGGTTCCGGCATTTCATTATGACTTGCACAGATGGAAATCAGGATGTCAAGATGTGGTGATGAATTAGCTATTAAAACTCATAGCAAAAACGTTAACTGTTTTTACTGGCATTTGTGTAGCAATACCTAGTTTAACTTTTTACTGCTTTCTTGGGAAAGATCTATCATGGTTGAAGACTCGGTTCCAGCCCCTTGTGAAACTGCCAGAAGACAAGCAAAGAGCTCTATATAAAACCTTGTATGAACTCTTGCTCCGTGAAGAAATGGTAACTGCCCTGGAAGACGTGGTAAGATGAAGGAACTTTTGCTTGCTTCCCGAAAGTAATTTCAGAACAGAGCTAGGATTTCTTTTTGTACAAACATTTCTCTTTTCAAGTTATTTTTACTTATTTTTTTCTTACAGTTAGAGGATATTTGCACGGGAGACAAGCTAGATCTGAAGGAGCTAAAACCTGCACAGCAACAAGAACTAGGTGACTTCTTGCAGCTCTTAGGGTGCAGTTTACAGAATGAGCTACTGTTGCAGAAATATCAGCCTCAGGATAAGGAACTCTTCTCAGCTGCTCACCTTCTCATCAGTGCAATCTCTGGTATGCCATGAATGAAGAGAAAAGCCATTTTTTTCCTTCTAGAAGCTCCCTCTGTGTAAAGCATTTACTACTCTCTTTGAGCAGTTGGTGAGCTCAGTGAGCGTAATTTGTTCTGCTCCTTTTTATGGGGATGGTACACCGTGCTTGGCGTTCCTGGCTGTGAATTAAATTCAGTCCTCCATCACTGACAGCTTTTGCTTGTAAAATACACGTTCCCTCAAGATTGCTCAACTCTAGTTTCCGTTGAAAGTAGGCATTTCGGTTTGGCAAGCTAATTTCTGTTCCTGTTGCATGCTAGAGTTCTTCCCCATCTAAATACTGAGGATTACATATTAGGTGTTGTCTTCTGTATAACAGCGCATCCTGTGAGGTGCAAAATGTATTTAGCAAAAATGAATTTAACATAGAGACACTGCAATTAGAGGATTGTTTTGCTGCTACTGAAAAAGGTGATTAAACGTAAATGTCAAACAAATGCCATCCACACAATCTAGTTGGCATCACAATGTTCGTGAAAAGCCACCTGCAAAATCCAAGGCATATTCCTTCCTAGCTTTTTCTCTTCTCTCTCATATATAAAGAGTTTCATAACATTAAGATGACAAAAGGAAGTCCAGTGTGATATTAGTTAGATGTGGCACTGTGCAGCAAAAGGTCAGTGTGCATGCATATATGAACAGTACCCAGGTAGGAAAGCTTAACTCATTTGCAGAGATGCAAAAGAAATAGAAAACAGGGACCAACTGATGTAGTAACACTTGTCACATGCTAGTAACAGCAGGGCACAGTTAATTGAGCGTGTTGCCTTACCACCTGACTTTGGACATAATGTCTGCTGCTAATGTCCAGGCATAGCTAAAGCTGGATCAAGAATCAAAAGCTGTTTTATGCCTGTTGTTTCTGTTAGTAATTACAGCCTTCGAGTCATAGAGTTGAAGGGGACCAAAGGGATCATTTAGTCCATCTCCTTTCCCCAAGGAGGGGTCAGCTATATGAATCCTCTCAGACTGCGTTTCTGCTGAAGTCAGCATCTCATATTGGTGTTGAGAGCAAAGAAACTTGTTTTATTCAAGGCCCAAATCATCTGTCCAGCCTCACGGAGGCTTGTCTCAGGGGCAGGGATAGTCAGTGTTGGATTTTGCACCCATTGCCCTTCTCAGTCTGTTCCTTACACTGGGAGGCAGACTGTGTTTGACAGGAAAGGGGTGAATCGGCCTCTTCTGAACGTTACCCAGAGCACTCGTGACAGCTGTCCTCAACATTGAATTGCTTTGGTTTCCAGAGCACATTTCACATGGTGCTGTACCTGGGGGCCCCCAAAAATGCAGCTCGTCTTTCACTGTTCAGCA